CCCATCGCTGCTTCTTGCTTAAATGGGTTAGTGTATCAGGGCCTGACGTTTGCCCAAGATTGGTGTCTATACGTTCTGCTTAGATCTGTACCCACTTTGCCTGACTACTGCTAAAAGCTTTTCGAATCTTAAAAAAGGATCCGAAGCGGGCACTCGGGTGGCTCAGTCAGTTAAGCGTCTGACGTCAGCTCAGGTCATGATCTCGTGGTTCATGAGTTCGAGCCCCGCATTGGGCTCTGTGCTGACATCGGAGAGCCTGAAGCCTGCTTCAGAATCTGTGTCTCCCTTGCTCTCTGCCCCTCCCCTGCTTGCACTCGGTCTCTCTCCTTCTCAAAAATAAAGGAACATAAAAAAAGTTTTTTTAAGGATACAAAGGAAGGTTTTGTTTTTTTTTTTAATTAATTTATTTATTTTGAGAGAGAAAGAGAGGAAGGGGCAGAGAAAAAAGGGGAGAGAGAATCCCAATTAGGCTCCCCACTGTCAGCCCAGAGCCCAACGCAGGGCTTGAACCCACGAACTGTAAGATCATGACCTGAGCCAAAGTCGGACGCTTAACTGACTGAGCCACCCAGACGCCCCAGAAGGAAAGTTCTTTAAGGTAAATTGGTGTTACATGTTGGAGACACAGAAGCTCAAATAGAGTACAGAGGAATAGGTTCAGAGTGGGTGCAATTCATGTGTCCAATTACTTCTCTGGTGAAACTAATTGTAGGAACCAGCATCCTGGGTCTGCTTTTGCCAGGTCATCATCCATTGTAGGGACATACTGTGGCTCCTCCTAATTTGCCCCTTTTTGTCCTTTTGCTTGGGATAAACCATCTCTGGCCTCCTCAGATAGTCCTATGTTAATGTCACCCAGCCCTTGCAGGAAGAATGCTCTGCGTGCTCAGGCCTTCCTGTGCACCTCGTAGGCCCGGCCCTCCAAACGGGCCATCACAGGAGCTTCCCCACATCTTCATTTTCTTTGAAAGGGAATCGGGAATAAAGCCTTTGTATTTACTTTCCATGCCACTCTCCCGCCCCCTCACTCTCTCTGCAGCAGGAAGTCTTCAAAGCTCCGGGCAAGTAGAAATGATGTCTTTCTGTAGCTTCCAGTGCTGATGCAGGATTTTTGCACCCGATTCTTACTGCTGGGATTTGGAGATCAAGATGCTTGTGTTCAAATTGCTGTCTTACCTTGCTTGTTTTTACTGTCATATATATGCTTCTACTGAAAGTCCAAAATGAAATTCGGAAAAACACGCATACCTGAGAGCCCGAAGAATACTCTCAAGTTTCTGTTTCGCTCTAGAGCTGCCAACCACGCTTAGATTCGTTTCACGCACAACAGTAAATACGCGGAGACGATGGCATTCCACGCAAGGGCCTAGAATGAGCAAAGGCACAGACAGAAGACCTAAAAGGAACAGAGCCTCAGGGAGCTAGGGTTGTAGTCCAGGAGCGAGGTGAGCAGAGGGGAGTCAGAGGTTAGAGGTCTGTATGACGCCAGCAGGTGCCTGGAGCTGGGCTCTACTCAGTCTTTCAGGAGCAGGACTGGTCTTTACAGATACTGACCTGCCAGTTATGAAGGCAGCAGTGGTGTGATGGAACCGTGCACAAGGGTCGATAACTTTTGAATCCTTTAAAACTAAGCATCAGCCTCCCCCGCCCCGTGGCTCCGTCGGTTAATTGTCTGACTTCAGCTCAGGTCATGATCTCACGGTTCGTGGGTTCGAGCCCCGCATCGGGCTCTGTGCTGACAGCTCAGCCTGGAGCCTGCTTCAGATTCTGTGTCTCCCTCTCTCTCTCTGCTCCTCCCCCGCTCATGCTCTGTCTCTCTCTCTCTCTCTCCCAAAAATAAAATTAAAACATTAAAAAAATTTTTAACTAAGCACACACAAGAGCTCACATATTCTTGGATCAACACCGACAAGGCCGCAGAGTGTCCTGTGTGATGACATAACCGCTGTGGGAAATCAGCCCCAATGGAAGACTGTGCTTTAACCAAACAAAGAAAGCAGTGAATTAGAGAGATTGGGTAACATTTCAGAAATAAAAGATGATTCCAGACACATGTGCATGTATGTTTAAATTATAACAAAAGGCATAGACGTTACACCAACGGTGAGTACACGGCCCTTGCCGGCGGCAGCGGTCATTCTCGGGTATGGGCTGCCCCTTCCTGAGAGCAGATTACTGCATAAAAATAAGAACAATGAAATCAATACTGATAGCATTTTTGTAAATTACATAGTGTTTTTAAGACAAATGGTACTTACTGTGGAGCTATGCATACTTTTTTTTTTTTTTTTTTTGGCAAAAATCATTCATTGTTATCATAGTCTGGCATTCTGGGATCAGATGGAGACACGCCTCACTTGCGTTGTTTTCAGCCTGCCCCTAAGTACATGGCGCTGTTTCACCCAAGAGGCGCCTGAATACAGAGAGGCTGCTCAATGCTGTGGGGAAATCAAATAGTGGGCGTATTGAAGGAAGGTGTGTTTGCTTGCAGTTGCAACTTCAAAACCGAGAAAGCTGTACTTCAGGGTGATTTAGGAGATTCTCAGAGCTCATTTGTTGATATGTAAGTGTGGGCCTTTTATTCAGATTGACCTTTGAACCTGACATGTGCCTTTAGGAGGTAATAGCATAGAACAAATGTTTAACCAGTAGTGATACCTTGAAGCTTTTTCCTTTATTTAACAGAATTTGCTACAATGCGCCTGGCTACGTGCTTCATACTTCTTAATATCCTTTATAGAATACAGAGTCTTATTCTTCTTCAGAACAGAGAAAATGTAATATTTCATTTATCGCCAGGGCAGTTACCGGTCGATCCCAGACAATCCTAAGACAGGCTGGTGTAAAGGAATTTCAGATCTATTTATGATTAAAGTACTGCACTAATAAAAACCAATAGCATTCTTAATAACTGTTTCCTACGGTTCTGCAGTTCAGGCTTTGCTTTGTGAGTCCTCCTACCCCCAACATGCACACACGTGCACATGTATACCTACACACGTGTGCACACACACACAGACACACGTCCCCGTTATAGAACATGGGCGGGGGGAGGGTTCAGTAGCTTCTCTGGTCTGCTTGCAGAGTTTTCTGCTACTGACTCTTACTGTTCTAGGCAAGCCGACTGATCATTTGAAATATAGTCTTGGGGTATCTCAAGGCCGGACGACGGGAATTGGCTCTTGTAGCCTTGCTGTTTTCTAAATGAGCCCTCCCATTAATCATTTGATCTAATGAATCACAGAGAAACGTAGGTAATTGAAGGAAATACCTTGGCAGAATGTAGCATTGTTCTCATTAAAATATCAAGGAACAAAATGAAAACGAATTTTGAAAAAAGATCTTCCTTTGGGGCGCCTGGGTGGCTCAGTGGGTTGAATATCCAACTCTTGATTTCAGCTCAGGTCATGATCTCACAGTCCATGAGTTCGAGCCCTGCACTGGGCTCCGTGTTGACAATGTGGAGCCTGCATAGGATTTTCTCTCTTTCCCTTTCTCTCTGCCCTTTCCCTACCTGTGTGCCCTGCCCCCTCTCTCTCAAAAAAAAAAAAAAAAAAATCATCCTTTGAAGGGTGCCCTGAGTTTCTGCAAAGCCCTTTTGGGAGCCTGTCCTTTAAACAAGTTGGTGAAAAAGTGATCCACTCTATTTCTGACCTTCCTTGGAATGGCCGGGATAGAAATTGGAGATTTTTTTTTCCTGCTTGTACCTAACCTGATTTCATTCTCTTTCTGCATATTCACTGCCTGATTTTCTACTATATAACACAATGGGGAAAATACAAAAATCAAACTCATTCAATTAAAAAATTTGAGGGGTGGGCGCCTGGGTGGCTCAGTTGATTAAGCATCTGACTTCGGCTCATGTCATGATCTCACAGTTCGTGAGTTTGAACCCCACATCGGGCTCTGTGCTGACAGCGGGGAGTCCACTTAGGATCCTCTGACCCCCTCTCTCTCTGCCACTCCCTGGCTCTCTCTCTCTTTATCTCAAAAATAAACATTAAAAACTTTTTTTTAACCCAACCCCCACCAGTTTCTGAAGTTCCTGGTGTTTTCTTTCAAGGAAGTCATCAGTTTATTGATTTTTTTTTCGCTCAAAAGAAGGGGGAGATGGAAGTGTAGGAGAGCGTGATTTCAGAGTTTTAAGATCTGCTTCACTAAAATGTATTCTGTTCACGTCCATCAGAGAGCAACAGAAGAAAGCTTTGAGAATTAAGGACAAGTAAATTCAACCACGGAAGCTTATGAGCGGCTAGATTGATTCAGGAAGATCAGTAAATAAATATTTTAAACTTCCACTGACCTTATTAAAATACACTGCCAGAAATATTCTGTTCGAGCCATTCTCATAAATTAGTCATCTTCCAAAAACAGCTGGTGGCAATTTGCTATAATAAAAAGAGCGGCGACTTAGAAATCAGAAGATTGGGAGGTCTTACCTCGGCTCGTTCACAGGGAGATTAAATGACACGCTAACACGTGTCCGATGAGGACACCATGCACAGGAGGATTGAATCAGATGATCTGCCTTTAAAAGACCCCTACATGGGACACCTGGGGGGCTCAGTCAGTTAGGCGTCCAACCTTGGCTCAGGTCATGATCTCATGGTTCACAAGTTCAAGCCCCATGTCGGGCTCTGTGCTGACAGCCCAGAGCCTTGAGCCTGCTTCGGATTCTGTGTCTCCCTCTCTCTCTGACCCTCCCCTGCTCGCACTCTATCTTTCTGTCTCTCTCCAAGATAAATAAACAGTAAAAACAAATTTTTTTAAATACTATTTCTGGCCATTCCCAAGAAAAGATCTCTGATAAAACTTGAGGACAGTACCTATGTTACTTCCCACAGAGGCAAGGCTGATACAGAAAACGGGATTTTAAATTTGGGCTTCTCCTCCCATATTTATTTGTTTTTCTCCACACTGATTCTATTCCCATCTGTGTCTCTTCCCCCCTGGGGGAACATCCTCCACCTTTTCAATTTGCTGCACTCTTTACCATGCAGACCTGTGAATGAAGAGTCAGAGCCCTCCGAGGTCGATGCTCCCGGCCGGTGGCACAGTGTCTATGTGAACAGAACGTCCCCGACGCCTTCGGAATCTGCAACCACCGTTAAGTCCCTCATCAAGTCTTTTGACTTGGGACGTCCAGGTATTTGATCATTTGGTCTCAGGAGCCAAACTCAAATTCAGACTGCGGCCCCACATATCACGCCTGCCTCTACTCCACACTGGCCCCGAATTAACGCAACCACGTGAGGCATCATTCCGCATGTAGCCACCGTATACGAGAGACTTCTGGGGCGCCTGCGTGGCTCAGTCGGTTAAGCATCCGACTTCGGCTCAGGTCATGATCTCACAGTTCGTGGCTTCGAGCCCCACGTTGGGCTCTGTGCTGACAACCAGGTCAGAGCCTGGAGCCTGCTTCGGATTCTGTATCTCCCTCTCTCTCTGACCCTCCCTCTGCTCACGCTGTCTCTCTCCCTCTCTCAGAAATAAATAAAAATAAAAAAATAAAGTAAAAAAAGAGGCTTCGGCAGCCTTGCTGAAGCCCCCGTAGGGCAACCCTGACGAGTCTGCGGCACACATGATAGTCCCCTCTTCCTCTCCGCCTCCTCCTTAGCTTTAATTCCAGACTTGCCATGTTCCTTTTCTGCCTCTGTGTCCTTTAAACTGAGGTTACCACTTCTTGCCTTCTTACCGTCTCATGAGAGTTAGGAGGGTCAACCAGAGGCTTCATTTCCCAGGAAATGAGGTGTTGAATCTATGCATTTGGCTCTCGTTGGACACACACACACACCCGCCCCCAGCCTTGCTCATTTTGCAACATCCTGTTAGACTTCTCTCTCCCTGGTCTTGTGTGCGACCACCTGTGTGGACCTGTCATGCCCGATCTGGATCCATTCCCAGCTTTTTCTGTAAATGTGTCTCTGGCTCACGGTTCACCGTGTTAACTCCGTACGTGAGAAAAACGCATGTGTCTTCTCTGTGCACATGAATATAGTAGATGGAAGAAGCCGAACGTGCGTCTCTCCAAAATGACAATGGATGTCTTCTGACCACAATAGAGTATGTGCCTGTGGTACAGGGAGGCTGGGGTGGTAGCTCATCCGAGGCTGTACCTGGTTGTCTTTGCTAAAATAGGTTGCAGCTAAGTTAGATGAAGATTAGACCGCAAATACTAAAAGATACTAAAGCCTGGTGACCACATTCAGTCTATGAAGATGGGAAATGAATGAACGATTAATGGTTTGGGCAAGAATGTTTCCTGTTCCTTCTTGCCTTAGATGCCTCGTCACGTCACTGTGTGTCCCACCTGTGAGAGCAGCCCTCAGGAGTTGACTCCTCCCCCCCCCCCACCCCCGTTCAGCACTAGTCCAGGGGAGGGAACAGAGTAACAGTCACACTTTACAGGCATCCTGGGATGCTGCCTTTGTCGCCACCCAAACAGTAACGAATGAGGAGCTATTACTTGCTGTCTTGACCTGAACAGCATATAACTGTCCCCATCTCTTTGCCTGGCAGGTGGAGCTGGACAGAATATCTCTGTCCACAAAACCCCCAGAAGCCCCTTGAGTGGGATTCCAGTGAGGACCACACCAGCTGCTGCCGTTTCTCCGATGCAGGTATGAGAGGCTGGGCCACGCGTGCGCTGGTCCGTGCTACGTGGTGTCATCATGGTGTCTTGCGCCCAGGCACCAAAGGGGAAGTGAAAACCCAATTAGTTTATTTTTGAGGCACATTGACCATCATCTTTAATAGGCATAGAATAATAATAATGAAACTTTTGTTAAAAATTACAAATTCTGGGCGGGGGGAGGCGCCTGGGTGGCTCAGTCAGTTAAGCGTCAGACTTCAGCTCGGGTCATGAGCTAGTGATTCGTAAGTTCGAGACCTGCATCGGGCTCTGTGCTGACAGCTCAGAGCCTGGAGCCTGTTTCACATTCTGTGTCTCCCTCTCTTTGCCTCTCCCTTGCTCTCACACACTCTCTCTCTCTCTCTCAGAAATAAACAAACATTTAAACGTTTTTTAAAAATTATGTTTCTGGGTCCTTGGGTGGCTCAGTTGGTTAAGCATCCAATTCTTGATTTCTGACAGTACAGAGCCTGCTTGAGATTTGCTTTCTCCCTCTCTTTCTGCCCCTCCCCTGCTCACGTGGGTGCACTTTCTCTCTTAATAAATAAATAAATAAATAAATAAATAAATAAATAAATATTTTTAAAACATTTTTAACCATTGCAATTCTGAGGCCTGATGAAGGTCCAAGAGAAGCACTGTAAACCTCATAGAATTTTGTCCATAATGTACATTTAAAGTTTTCAGTTAACTGAAGATTATAATTTTTACCAGAAGTGGATATTGAACTAGTTATTTTTCTCAAAGAATTGTGGGGTTTTTTTTTCAAAAGCACCCCAAAGAGAGAAAATGTTTCCAATTTGTAAGTTCTTTGAGTTCACTGGTTATAATCTGTCATTGCTGCCATCTTGTGAAGGTTCTAGATCAGAGCTTCTTGGCATTTTCTAAGGCCCGGGCTTTCAGTGTTATTAGTAACATTCAGCACACTCCTCCCGCTGAGCCAAGGGTAGTGTTGTCATTAACAAGTACCCTTTTAGGACATCTGGTTGGCTCAGTCAGTTAAGTGCCCAACTTTGGCTCAGGTCATGATCTCACCATTTGGGAGTTCGAGCCCCGTGTTGGGCTCTGTGCTGACAGCTCAGAGCCTGGAGCATGGTTCAGATTCTATATCTCCCTCTCTCTCTGTCCCCCGACTCTGCTCATGATCTGCCTCTCTCTCTCAAAAATAAACAAACATTGGAAAAACATATATAGCTTGAATGTATCCATATGCACACACCCCAGTAACCAGCACCAAGATAAGGCATTCTCACCACCCCACAAGGCCCCCTCATGCCACCACCCAGTCAGTCATCCCTTAAACTAGCCATTATTCTGACCTCCGTTATCCTAGGATCAGGGTTATGCTGACCTAACCCACTTAGGAGGGAGCGAGTTAAAAGTCTCCCTTGCTCCCTAGCCCCAGAAAGATCCACTGCTGATGGCTTGTTGTGTATCTTTCTAGACATTTTTCTTTAGCATAAAAGTGTGTATGGTTGGGGAAGGGGGAGGGAGAGAAAGTTTTATAAATTGGATTACACGTGTTATTCAGACACTGGCTCCTTTCATTTTGCTGTTGGAATGGAATCCGTGAGGGCAGGGATCTTTATCTGTTTTGCTTGCTGTCATATCTCTTGCCTCGAACAATGGCCGGCACGTAGTTATATCCCAGTAGGAGCTTAGTAAATATTTGTTGAATGAATGAAGGAAGTGACCAGAGATATCTTTACATGTCAGTATTCAGGAAAAAATACTTCTTTTTCTGTTTTAATTTTTTTAATGTTAACTTATTTTAGAGATAGAGAGGGAGACAGAGTGTGAGCAGGGGAGGGGCAGAGAGAGAAGGAGGCACAGAATCTGAATCAGGCTCCAGGCTCTGAGCTGTCAGCACAGAGCCCGACGCAGGGCTGGAATTCACGAACCATGAGATCATGACCTGAGCCGAAGTCAGATGCTTAGCTGACTGAGCCACCCAGGCACCCCCTCCTTCTATTTCTAAGGGTGAATAATATTTTGGTGTATGTAAATACCACATTTGGTTTATCCATTCATCTGTCCGTGGACATTTAGGTTGTTTCTGCCTCTTGACTATTGTGAGTAAAGCTGCAGTGAACATGGGCATACAAAAATCTCTTCTACATTCTATTTCATTTCTTTTTCAATATAGACCCAGAAGTGGGACCACTGGATTGTATAGGAGCTCAATTTTTAATTTTTTGAAGAACTCTGTACCATTTTCCATAGTGGAGACACCATTTTACATGGCCACCAGCAGTGGTGGTTTTAATTTTTCTGCATTTTGGCCAACACTTGTTATTTCCTTTCTCTCTCTGTCTTTTTAAAATAATGACCCTCTAACAGGTATGCAGTGATATCTCACTGTGGTCTTTTGCATTTCCCTGGTGATGAGTGAAGTTGAGCATCTTTTTGTATACCTGTTGGCCATTCAGAAACAGTATTTTTACACACCTCCTTGAATATACATAGAATTTTCTAGGAAGGTACTCACAACGCTGATTAATCGTGATTATTACCCCGGAAGAGAAGAGCCAGGTGACAGGAGTGAGAGGGAGACTCTTATGTGTTCTTTCTGTTTCTTTTGACGATTAGGCCAATCGCATGTATTACCTATTCAAACAAATAAGTAGGGTTTTTTTTTTAATGTATATTCATTTTTGAGGGAGAGAGGGTGAGCACAAGCAGGGAAGGGGCAGAGAGAGAAAGAGAGGGAGACACAGGATGCAAAGCAGGCTCCAGGCCTGACGCAGGACTCAAACCCACGGACTGTGGGATCGTGACCTGAGCCGAAATCGGATGCTTAACCCACTGAGCCACCCAGGTGCCCCTAAATAAGTTGTTTTAAAAGCTCCCTCGCATGATTCTGAGGAGCTTAAGAACCGCTGTGTGGACACACGTGCCTTGTTTATGCTGTTCCTGGGGTCACAAGCTCACCTATGATGCTGCGCCCTTTCATTTTTCAGAGACATTCAACGTACAGCAGCGTTCGACCAGCCAGCAAAGGTGTGGCTCCGCGTTTGGATCTTCCAGAACTTCCACTCTCAGGTAACACCTGAAACAGCAGATACTTTTGACTTCTGTTTTTGTGCGGTTAACTTTCCTTCTTTGCCGAAACCGAGCTGAGAAAAATAATCCACGGCATTTGTCTCAGACCATTGAAAACCCAAAGTGTTTGTGTGCTGGATGTTGGGTCCCATTTCCTGCAGCTATGCTTCCCGGGGTGCGTGTGTGTTCAGGAGGAATGTCCAAATTGGGGGCGGGGTTGTTTTTTGCTGAATCTCAAGGGAATAATTTATAATCTTTAGAAGAAACTATTTTAAGAAAAAAATTTTATGTGATTCTGGAGTCTGTTGCTTCCATAAGCCCTGAAATATTGCCTCTGAGCATAGTCCTCTTCCTGTTATTATTCCAGGTATTTTATTTTTTCTTTTATTTATTTTGAGAGAGAAAGTGTGAGAGGAGGAGGGGCGGACAGAGAGGGAGAAAGAGAGAGAGAATCTCCAACAGGCTCCCAGGCTCCACACTGTCAGCACAGAGCCCAACATGGGGCTCGATCCCACGAACCCAGAGATTATGACCTGAGCCCAAATCGAGTCGGACGCTTGACTGACTGAGCCACCCAGGCGCCCTTCAGATCCTGCTGATGAAGTGGTGGTTGAAATGCACAGTCCTCAGTGTCCCGTTTTTACCCCTGCTGCACTTCCATACTCGTGGCCCATGTGAAGTAGCAGTTGCCCCGGGTGGGGGGGGGGGAGACACAGGAGTGTGTTTGAATCTTGGCACTACCACCTATAGTCCAACTTTGGCCCCCTTATTTCACCCTCCATGCTGCGATTTCCTCATCTCTGAAATAGAAGTAATGCCGTCCAGGACGCCTGGGGAGCTCAGTGGGTTAAGTGTTCAACTCTTAGTTTCGGCTCAGGTCATGATCTCACAGTTTGTGGTATCGAACCCTGTGTCCGGCTCTGTCTGCCCTGACAGCACAGGGCCTGCTTAGGATTCTCTCTCTCCCTCTCTCTCTGCCCCTCCCTTGTGTGCATGCTTTTTCTCTCTCTATCTCTCTCTCAAGATAAATAAATAAACATTAAAAAAAAAAAAAAGAAAGAATACTGCGTACCTCATCGGATCGCTTCGAGGGCTGAGTGAACATGGCCACGTGTCCAGTGGGCGTTGTGGAAGTGCTGGCTGTTACCACTTTAGTGTCTGCTCCTTTGGGATCAGTTCACCTATCAGAACAAAGAGGCATTAGCAGAATGTTAAGCTTTTCCCCAAGTATTTACCCTAAAAATTTATGTATAGGACTCTCCAGTCACTACTGTAAGGAAACAAAAAAGATAAAAAAATGGACACGAACACTAAGTGAATTATTTGCCAGTGCCTACCGGAAGGCCAGAAATCTAGATCGCATAGATAGAAATCCTGTGTTGCCAAGCATCAGACGAAACTTCTGTAACAGGGTGTGAATCTAAAGGAATTCCAATTGTACTTCTTTTAGAGCACAAACACCATCAAGTTTATTCTGAAACTAATTGTTTCTGAAATAAGTTTTGGTCTTTCACTGGAAAGTTATTAACCATACCACCGATACCACCTTATTTTCTTTTCATGTTTGCATTTTGTTTTCTTTTTTCATGGAATAAGAGCATTTTAAACATAGATAAATACTGATACTGAGAATTTGAAGACTACCTCGGCCCATGCCCTGCATTTTACATGTGAAAGATCCAAGAGATCTTGGATCAATTAAGAGATTAATTGATTTGGGGCGCCTGGGTGGCTTAGTCAGTTAAGTCTCCGACTTTCGCTTAGGTCATGATCTCGCGATTCGTGGGTTCGAGCCCCGCTTTGGGCTCTGTGCTGACAGCTAGCTCAGAGCCTGGAGCCTGTTTCAGAGTCTGTGACTCCATTTCTCTCTGACCCTCCCCTGCTCACGCTGTCTCTCTCTCTCTCTCTCCTAGAAATAAATAAAAATATTAAAAAAAAAAGAGATTAATTGATTTATAACTGCCCCCACCCCCAATTCTGAATGGCTCTGGGACCAAGATAGGATTTTTTTTTTTGATTCGTTTCACCATGTTGCCTTTCAGTAGTGAGGCGGCTGATTGCCCTGATTAGCAGCCTCATGAAGAAGTGATAGCAGTTTATGTAGGACTTGATAATGACTTTAAGGAAGAAGAAGAAGAAAATGGCATCTAAGAGCAGAAGAGTGAGAAAAAACAGAAAGGGTAAGGGAGTCCAGTAGAGCAGATCATGATTTCTCTGCAAACTAGAGAAATGGAGGGAGACTAGACCAAGGTATTGGAAACCCACCCGATTTGAGTTCCTACACTTCCCATGTAGTGGAAAATGGGGAATAACTTGACTGTATAATACTTATAAAATGTACCATCTTAACCACTTTTAAGTGTATCAGGTGAGCTTTAGGTCATAATATTTGTCTTCTCTGTTCTTCCCGCTTTAAAATTTCCTTTAGAGTGGGGCGCCTGGGTGGCTCAGTCAGTTAAGCATCTGGCTCTTGACCTCTGCTCAGGTCTTAATCTCAGGGTCATGAGTTTAAGCCCTGCGTCGGGCTCCCCACTGGGCCTGAAGCCTATTTGAAAAATTTTTTTTTTCCTTTTGTATAAAGAAACCATTTTTTTAATTGACGAGATGAATACTGACGCCAAAGCCACACTGGCTCTTGCCCTGAAGTAAACAGTTCATTGTCAGCACCCCCTCCTGCCCCCCACCAGGCACCTGTCTACCCGGACGATTCTATTTACCGTACTAAAAAAGGATTACACGGTCAAAGTTGCTTGTATTCAAGCCAGCCTTGCCAACACTGAGGTCATCAGAAACTGCCAAAATGGGATTAATGGGCTGTTTTTCTTGTTCTCGCTAGTGATGTAAACACTGTTTTTCCTCTGCTCTTCCAGGCTAATTAGCCTCACTCCCCACTCTACTACCCATAATTGGTGGCTCTTAGCTGTACAAGTATTGTTTTCTTCCGTGACACTGGTGTCATAGGAGGCGACCATGGACTTGGCCTGGTCACACGGGCCTGTCGTGTGGCATTGAGCAAGTCACTCACTTCTCTGCCATTGCCTCTGTAAATACAGACCAGACAGTCTCAAAGTTTTCTTGCATCCTATACCCCCGGTGGTCCTTTAAGAAGCATCATCTGGACGATTCAGCCTGTTTCATCAACCTGTTTTGACTTCTAATGGAACAGCCGAGAGGGACCTTCAGAGAATTAATTTTGCTTATTTGTAAGCCAGCCAGACGCCATGACTGGAACGGCTCTTTTTCTGGCAAACTAGTTCTCATTCTTGGTCCTCTGCTTTTTGCCTGCTCTTACCTGTGACTTGAAAATCCCTCAGGGTACCTTCCTACCAGTTCACTCTCTTTATCTCTCCGATGCCCATCGATGAAAACAAAGTGCTTTAGTTGGGGACAGGGCTGGCCTGGTGGGCGTGTGACCTGTGCAGATCTCTTAGAAGGGCTTTGGTTTAATGCTCCATGGGTGCCATCCTGAAATAATAATTTTTGAACAGGGGGCCAATTCGGCAATAGTCTCTATGAATTACGGAGTCAGCCCTGCCTGGAGAATCCTTTCTAGAAGATGCCGTGTCCCTATTTGCATTTTTATTACTTAATCCAGAAACTATATCTATAAATCTATATCTGTTATATTTGTACTTGAGAATAAGGTGAGAATTACATGGCAGTTGAGAAGAAAGCGTGGTGACCAGATTTCTCTTCTTCAGGGATAGGTGATTATGTTGTTGTTCACACAGATCTTCTAAAGGGAAGGGGTGAGGACCTGAAACCGGACCCTTACCTCCGCAAGAGCCCCTCGCTCGAGTCTCTGAGCAGACCTCCTTCTCTGGGCTTCGGGAGCACAAGGCTGCTGAGCGCTTCCACGGGGGGCTTGAAACCACAAAGCAAACTCAGGTACCGCGTTTGAAACAGTGAGAAATCACTGGGCTGATGACCTTGTATGCTTCCTTCTGATTTATCCCCTGTGCTCCCTTTCCTTCTTACGTGTCTTTCCTGAATGAAAACCACCAAGACACAGTACCTGCCCCACAGGACGGTGCAAAGTGAAGCAAGAGCTGTGAAAGAAGTATAAGCAGGGGCTCCTGGGAGGCTCAGTCAGTTAGGCATCCACCTTCGGCTCAGGTCATGATCTCACAGTTCGTGGGTTCGAGCCCCACATCAGGCTCTGTGCTGACAGTTCAGAGCCTGAAGCATGCTTCGGATTCTGTGTCTCCCTTTGTCTCTGCCCCTCCCCTGCTTGCTCGCTGTCTCTCTCAAAAATAAATATTTAGAAGAAGAAGAAAAAAACGTATAAGCAGATTACATGGGGAGTTGTTAGTTGGATCCAGAAGTCTGGAGGGAGGAGGCGACATTTCTGCCACAGGGGTCCTGCAGGCCTCGCCAGGAGGCTCCCCCTGATGTTCAGGGCTCAGGGCGTGGTTTAGTTTGCTCAGACTGGACTGCGGGCTTCTTGAGGGCAGGGGCCCTGGCGTACATATCATCAACGTGAAGATTGGCCGGCGAGGCGGACAGGTGGTTAGGAGAGCACTGCTGGAAAGGCAGGTTGGAGTCCCGTTGTGAATGCTCTTCATTGCCAAGGTTAGAGGTCCATACTCCTTTTGGCAAAGCATTGGGGAACCATTAGGTTCGTGGCATTTTGCTTCTGATGACGAGTAGCAGTACGGTGAACAGTGGCGCGGCAGAAGGACTGGGGCATTTTGAAGTCAGCATTGAAAGAGCCCATTAGGGGTGATGTGAGGGGTGGAGGGACAGGGAGGAGGGGACAGAGACTGCGGGGCTGGTCACCAGAGGCCGGTCTTCGGTCACAGCTCTGCCACTTCCTCCCTGCCCTGTGCCCCTGCTCACCCAGGCCACGGCAAGCCTCCTCCAGCTACTTCCCCACGTAGAGTCAGCCTCTAGAACACCGAGCACATCCCGTGCAGACCTTGTCAGAAACCTCCCGTGACTCGTCATGCACACTTCCACCCACGCTCCTCATTCTGGTCCCTAGGTTCTCTGCAGTGGAGTCTTCCCCTGCTCACGTGCCAGATCGTCCCTGCCCTCCACGCCGTCACAGCCTGCTTCATTCTCAGCCTTCGCCACCAACACGCACGTTTCTGACTGCTCACACAGTTCTGGCCCGAGCGGCCTTCCCTCTGTCCCTTTCACTCTCCCCTAAGTCCTCCTCCTTCAAAGCCAAGCAGACTACCCTGGTAACATCGATGCCCCCTTTCTCTGCCTTCAGCGTCATAGCCTCATTTGGGTGTTTAATGCACTGTTGTGTGATGTGTGTGTCTTTGTCCCCATTGAAGCTGCACTGTATTTATTTTTTTAATGTTTATTTATTTTTGAGAGAGAGACAGAGACAGAGTGCAAGCTGGGGAGGGGCAGAGAGAGAGGAAGACACAGAATCGGAGGCAGGCTCCAGGCTCTGAGCCATCAGCACAGAGCCCGACACGGGGCTCGAACCCACGAATCATGAGCTCATGACCTGAGCCGAAGTCAGACACTCAACCGACTGAGCCCCCCAGGCACCCCTAGGTTGCATTTTAGTAGACAATAAATACCTCGTCTCATGCTTTGATGTCTCTCCCCGCCCCCATGTCGTGTTACACACATAGCATTGCATTCAGTCAGTACTTACGAGTAGGTGAGTAGATAGATGAGTGTAGAAAACAGGCCCCTTTAGGAGTAATGGATTTTTAGCAAACCTCATAACTTCAGCGTTACGTGTGTCACAACAGGATTTTATAAAAGTCTGAATAAGTTCAGCTCTTGCCATATCTTTGGGCGTGGCCTATATTTGGAGCCAAATAGATGAAGTCATATCTCTTCAGAGGTTTAACTTAAAGACCTAGATATTACACGTTAGTCTTGTTTCTGCACAGGAGATTTAAATGATCAAACCTTGGGGGTTTTTTAAAACATTTTTTAATGCTTACTTATTTCTGAGAGAGAGCGAGCGAACAGGGGAGGGGCAGAGAGAGAGGGAAACACACAATCCGAAGTAGGCTCCAGAGCCTGAAGTAGGTCTCAAACTCACAGACCACGAGGTAATGACTTGAGCCGAACTTGGATGCTCAACCACTGAGCCACCCAGCCACCCCCAAATCTTGTTTTTAATGACCAGAATTAGTGCTACTCAGAAATTGCTCTTTCCTTTATGCCACAAATGTGTACAGAAAATGCTATGTGTGTATGCTGTTGATAGGCTACCCTTCATCATGAAAGATTAAATTAGTGGAAATCAATATGTTGTTTTATTTTTGTGTCCACATCACTGAAACAAATGAATGACAGGATAGAAATTAACTTCTTCTGGAAGTTCTCATCCTATTAGCATTAATTTGCCGCAGGCACCATATCCGGTTAACTTCATTTTTTTTAAGAAGATTGTCCAGTAAATGTTTTAGTCGTCCGCTTACACAGAAACTCTTGGCCAAACCTTCATTTCAGTCTTTCCTCATTTGTCAGACCTAAAAATTCAGTTCCAAATGACAAAGGAAGACGTGGCCCTTAGTAAACACAGGCCAAGTCACCATGGCTAAGCCACCGTAATGTCGTAGGCCCTTCGTGGCTCTGACCACAGAAACTCCCGGCTGTGAGTTTACGCAAGAAAAACCAGTCATCAGATGACACCAGCAAAATTTTAATGCAAGCTGATGAAGTCTTCTTACAATCTCTCTACCCTAATTCAGATTGCTGAGGTCTGGAATCATCACTTTCCTCCTTAAAAATATTTTAAAGTATTCTCATTAAGTGTCAGAATGATACGAAACAATAATATTAAACGGGTGTAAGCTATTAAGAACAGCAATGCATCTGGACATCGGCTTTCCAGTGTAAGGGAAAGAAGATTATTATTACCATCGACATCCCCTGTCAGCCCCTCTCTGCCAGCCTTGCCTCCCTGCCCCGCCCCAAGGTCACCACCGTCTGACTGTTCTGTATCTTGTCCTCTCCTTCTCTTTCCAGTTTCACCACATACGCTTGCACCCCCAAACAATATAAACAATACATTATTTAAATTCTCACTTAAAACTCTGCATAAATGGAAACACACGGTGGTTTTCTCTTTTTTTTAAATTCAGAATTGTTTTGCCGTTCATTCGAGTCATTGCATGCATCCTAATTCATTGGTTTCTAGTGCTGTATAGTATCCCTTTGTGTGACTATGCCACTGTTCCCCTGTTTTCCAGATGATGCACATCTACTTGTTTCCAGTTATTTGCTAGTATAAAAAGTGCTACAGGGGCACCTGGGTGGCTCAGTGGGTTAAGTGTCCGACTTGAGCTCAGGTCATGATTTCACAGTTCATGAGCTTCGAGCCCTGTGTTGAGCTCTTTGCTGTCAGCACAGAGACCACTTCGGATTCTCTGCCCCCCCCCTCTGCTCCTCCCTCACTTGTTCTCTCTCTCTCTAAAATAAACATTTTTAAAAAAAGGTTTTTTTAACTAACGTAGATACCTATTAAAAATTGAGAAGAGGGTGCCTAAGTCTTGCTCTCAGAATGCTGCCGTGTTATTTAGTAAAATCGCTTCCTTTGGCTACACAGGTGCTCAGAATTGAGTTAATGTCATACAAACTGAGGGGTACCACTTTTAGAGTGTGCAAAGACCCTCTTTTGAGTAGTTTTTACTGATTTTTACCTTTTATTTCCATTCCTATTACTTCTCCATAAGCAGCCAATCTAGTGTTTTTAAACGCCCTTGCAGCTTCCTTTTCATAGGTTACGTAGATGTGGGTGTAGCTTTGAGACACGTAGAGTGTTTTTTCTAGTGTCTTTAATTAAAATGATACTGTACTTAAGTAAGTAAATAAATAAAGGGCTAGATGGATGGAGCAACAGATGGACTTCTGATAGCCAAGCAGTACAATTTAATTTTTCTTTCATATCGTGAAACGTTATAAAGATGTGTCATTAATATGACTGATTTGGTTGTTTCTCTCCAATCTCACTGGAGAGACCTAGACTTTTCCTCGAGAATCTAGTTCTTTATTTCTTGCCTTCTTGAAAGCCCTAAAAATTAGCCTCTTCTCTTCACCATGTGCTCTTGTTTCTAACTAGTGTGGAGAGAAGAGACCCTCTGGCTGCCTTGGCCCGGGAATATGGCGGCTCCAAGCGCAATGCTCTCCTGAAATGGTGTCAGAAGAAGACAGAAGGCTATGCGGTGAGTGACCATGTCGGCCGGCTTCCACCCAGCTCTGGGCGGCAGTCCTGTGCCAGGATTTGTCCTGGGGACACATATGCTTGGACGGGCCAGTGCGCGAGCTCGTGTTCTTCCCTTCTCTTAGGCAGGGGCCAGGTAGTGGGGCCAGCTGTGGTGCCCAAAGAGGTGAGCAGGACTTAGAGCCAGTCAGTGCTCCGCCCGGCGAACCATGGACCTCAGCCCAGGTCTGCATCTCCTGCAGGAAGGGGCACCTTTCTCTTTGCTCAGAGGAAATATAAACTCCGCAAGCAGTGAGCCTAACGGGCTGCTTCAGTCCAGACAGACAGCATTTGCTGAGCCATCTTCCCAAAGAAGGCGCCTTTTCCTGATTTATACAAAAGTCCTGCTTAGAATGCCTTCAGCATTTCTCTGTTACTTGAAGAGTTGTTTGCATTGAGTTTCAAGTTGCAGTTTATCAGGATGGTACTTGTTTTCTGGAAAGGTTAGACAAGGAAGAAACACCTGATCTAAAAGCGTAAGCTCTGTTATTACGAAATATCATATACAAACATGAAAAAGAAAAAACAAAAAAAATGCCTCGAATATAAATTATAGTTTCATGGATGATTATGAGGTGAAAACCCGCACAGTCACCACTCACATCCAGAAATGGAGTATTGCCAGGTCCCCCAAACCTTTCATGTGACTTTCTAATCGTAGCCCCTCACCACTCCCAAAGAAAGCCATTGTCCTCAATTTTTTCCCTCATAGCTGCAACAAAAAGCAGGAATCCCTAAATGCCAGAGTAGTTTTGCCTGTACTTGAACTTTACATAAATGCAATCAGAAACTATGATACCTGCATCTGGCTTTTCTCAAACAGTATTAAGTTACTCAGGTATATCCGGCTATAGTTCGTCATTCTCTTTACCCTTTGGAACCTCTTGTGGGATCATACCATTATTTATTTATCCGTTCTATTATTGCCAGACGGATGAGCTATTTCCAGTTCGGGGCTGTTGTAATAGTGCCGGTGTGTTCTTGTGCGAGTCACTCGGAACACACGTGTGCTCGTTCTTTCTGGATCTATGCCTAGAAATGGAGTTACTGGGCCATTGGGGATGCAAATATTCAGGCACAGCAGAGGGTGCCGAACAGATTTCTCCAGCAGTTGTGCCGTTTTACCTCCCACCAGCAAGTAATGGGAGATCTGTTTCTCCATGTCATCCCTGTTTTGTACAAGTGTGTAGTGGCATCCCATTGTGGTTGGGATTTGCGCTTCCTTGCCAGCCAATGAGGCGGAGAACTTTTCTGTATGCTAACTGGACATTTGAGTAGTCCCCTATGGGATGTGCTCTACGGTCTCATTTAGGTCTCACGTGCCTTATGGTCTTTCTTTCCCATGTTACTTCTAGGAGCTCTTTATGTGTTGTGGATGCCCGTCCTTTGTCAAATAGATGTATTGCAAATATCTCCTCCCAGGGTGGCTTGAATTTTCACCTTTTTGTGGAACAAAGTTGTTAATTTTAGTTAAGCCCAATGTATCGGTCTTTTTCCCAGCAGTTAGTGCTTTTTGCATCCTGTTGAAATCTTTGTTCCAAGGACATGAAAATATTCTCCAGTGCTTTCTTCTACACGTTGGATTGTGTTACTTTTCTCATTAAATAGCCACCCCCTTTAAAATTGTCATCTCTAGGGCGCCTGGGTGGCTCAGTTGGTAGAGCATGTGACTTTTTTTTTTTTTTGCATTTTTTAAATAGTTTATTGTCAAGTTGGTTTCCATAAAACACCCAGTACTCATCCCCACAAGTGCCCTCCTCCATGCCCATGACCCCCACTCCCCCCCCACACCCGTCAGTCCTCAGTTTGTTCTCAGCATTTAAGAGTCTCTCATGGTTTGCCTCTCTCCCTTTCCCCCAGTATTTCCCCCCTTCTTCTCCCCCACGGTCCTCTGTTAAGTTCCTCCTGATCCTCCTATACATACAAACATATGGTATTTGTCCTTCTCTGCCTGACTTATTTCGCTCAGCATAACACCCTCAAGGTCCATCCATGTTGCTACACATGGCCAGATTTCATTCTTTCTCGTTGCCAGAGCATGTGACTCTTGATCATGGGATCATGAGTTTGAGCCCCACATTGGGTACAGAGATTACATAAATAAAAAAAATTTTTAATAAAAATAAAATAGGCTTCTCCTCCCCATTCTCCACTCAGGCCCTGCCTTCCTCTCCCCTTACCCCACTTTGCTAAAAATTTGGAAGATGCTGGCACCACAACACTCCCTCCCCTGCCTCAAGCTTTGAGGGTGGCTGGGATAGAAAAAGAAAGAAGCAGCAAGAAAACAAGGCCTTGGCCAGGAACCAGCCCAGGTGGTTAAGCAGCAACAGGGCTGGGATAGTCGTAATGGCAGCAGCCACGGGGCTTCAAACCCGACTTTACCCAAGAACATAAGTGTTTTGTGTCTTTGACTTTACCTTTTCTTTTTTCCCCCGTTTTCCACCCAAAAAGAAAAAGCAAAAAATTAGTCCAGTTAATGACCAATAATGGAGACTCCCAGAGGGCAGTCTTGCTTCCCACCCATTGTTTCATCTTCTGGCTGCTCTCCGCACTGTCTGCTTCAGCCCTTTCCAGGGCTTGAAACCACCCCAGAAAGGAAGGCCATCCTAATGACAGCGCCCCTCGGCATGTCAGCCACGCTGCCGGGGAAATGGAGAAGTGAGGAGTGGGGGAGAGAAAGCTGATCCCGGGAGGCTTCAGGGTAGGGGGAGTCGGAGCGATAACAGGGGACCAAAGCGGACAAAGGCCGGGAACGAGGTCTTGGCTGTGGCCAAGCCACTTGCAGCCACTAATGCTTGACTGCACTGTCCTTTCCCCACCTCACAGAAATGGATGGAGGGAAGTGCTAGATGGATAAGAAAGACAGTTCAGATTTCCAGAAGGAATCGGCCCTTGGGCACCTAACGTTGTTATAATTAGGTTGCAGGGTGAGATTATATGGTAAGACCTTTCCCGTCACAAGAGGGAGAATAGTATTTCCCACTGTAGTGATTTTTTTGTTTTGTCTTGTGAACGAACATCATGAACTGGTTTTCAAAGCATTTTATGCTTCACAAAGCCCAAAGGTCATTCTGCCTGAAGAGTAATTTTCATTCATCATTAAATCTGTGTAAGTTTAGAGGGAAGCATAAGTCATATGTCTCTGATTTATTTACTCCTCAGAAAATATCCTCGGTCTAGACCTGTTTGTCTGAGATGCCTCTTAAGCCTTCTAAAGCTCATCCTCTCCGACTCAGGAAGCCAAAAATAAATTGTAGAATGCTCAGATGGCTCGTTTAGAAAGACAGAAAACCAGTACTCATGTGCATTTCCACATAACAGAATGTTCTGTTTTAGCCCACCGAAAGGTAGCCCAGAGATTGCGTCCAAACTCTGCCTGTATTAATTCAGTGAATTTTCAGTGAGGGGACCTGTTCAGGGCCACATAATATTTCAGGCTCTGGGAATTCAGCAGGGGACGAACAAACAGAATTTCTACTCTAGTGGAGCTTCTGCCCACACGAGGGTGACAACTAAAACCTTAAAAGTACAATACCTGTGGCGCCTGGGTGGCTCCAGTGGCTGGGCGTCCAACTTCAGCTCAAGTGATGATCTCGTCCATGAGTTCGAGCCTTGCGTCAGGCTCTGTGCTGACATCTCAGAGCCTGGAACTTGTTTCAGATTCTGTGTCTCCCTCTCTCTCTGCCCCTACCCCACTCATGCTTTGTCTGTCTCTCTGTCTCTCTTTCTGTCTCTCAAAAATGAATAAATATTAGGGGCTCAGTCGGTTAAGCGTCCGACTTCGGCTCAGGTCATGATCTCACGGTTCATGGGTTCGAGCCCCGCGTCGGGCTCTATGCTGACAGCTCAGAGCCTAGAGCCTGGTTCAGATTCTGTGCCTCCCTCGCTCTCTGACCCTCCCCTGTTCACACGGTCTTTATCTCTCTCTCAGAAATAAATAAAACATTAAAGAAATTTTTTTAAATGAATAAATGTTAAACAAAATTTTTAAAAAATGTATAGAATCTGCTATATTGGAAGGTGGTGGGTACCATGGAGAAAACTCAGAGAAGGGGGATTAGGATCACTGGGTGTGTGGACACCGTTGTCACATGAAGGTCAGGGAGGTGACATTTAAGTGGTGACTCTCCTCACCTGACAAAAGTGAGGACCTGTGTGTTTCCATCAAGGTTTATCTCAAGCCAGGTACTAGGCTTGGAAGGTCAGAACGAGGACATCATCACATTAGTGACTGTGTTTGTTGGAACTTAAGCAACATGGGGTGACAGCCCTGAAAAGTTAGAGCAGCAGTTCAGACCTGCGGCTGAGCCCCGAGGTTCAGCTCTCAGATGTGTTGGTAGCATGAGCGTGCCCTCTGTCCAGAGTGAGGCCCGCCCCGAGCTTGAAGTGGCTCTCAGCAAAGAGACCTTTCTAGATGATCTACGCAGCTCAGATTTCCTTGGAATTGTTTGTTTGTTTGTTTGTTTGAAGCCAGGCTTCTAGGAAGGCCCTGCAAATTGCTCTCCATCCGTAGCCAAGGATCAGCCTGACCCATACAACCCTACGTCCCCCTTTTTAAATCTGTTTTCAGTTCTCTCATTGGGGCTGTGATGGGGAAATTTTCGTCTCTCATGTAATTACCAGAAGGGATCTGAAGGGCCCAGAACACAAGATGGTGGGTATGATAGGCAGAACTCCCAGAATGACCCCCAGTGACCCTCACCCCTAAATAATCTCCTACATACCTATGGCAAAAGGGAGCTTATCTGGGTAGACTTAATACATGAACCTTTAAAAGCCAGGAGTTTCTTCTGAAGCATCAGAAGGACTCAGTGCACCATCAGGGGGCCTGAAAGTGAAGGGGGCACATCCGGAGCTGAGAGAGGTCCCTGACTGATGGCAGTAAGGAGACTGGGACTTTCTAGCACTAAGGCGTTAGAGTGCTGAGGTCCTACCAATACCCAGAAAACACCGTGGGGGACG